CCAAGTTCTCCTGGTGGCCCCAAGTTCTCCTGGTGGCCCCAAGTTCTCCTGGTGGCCCCAAGTTCTCCTGGTGGCCCCAAGTTCTTCTGGTGGCTCCAAGGTCTTGTGGTGGCCCCAAGGTCTTGTGGTGCCTTCAAGTTCTCCTGGTGGCCCCAAGGTCTTGTGGTGGCCCCAAGTTCTCCTGGTGGCCCCAAGTTCTTCTGGTGGCTCCAAGGTCTTGTGGTGGCCCCAAGGTCTTGTGGTGCCTTCAAGTTCTCCTGGTGGCCCCAAGGTCTTGTGGTGGCCCCAAGTTCTCCTGGTGGCCCCAAGTTCTTCTGGTGGCTCCAAGGTCTTGTGGTGGCCCCAAGTTCTCCTGGTGGCTCCAAGTTCTGGTGGCTTCAAGTTCTCCTGGTGGCCCCAGGTTGTCTTGGTAGCCCCAGGTTCTCTTGGTGGCCCCAAGCTCTCTTGGTGGCTCCAAGGTCTTGTGGAGGCTCCAAGGTCTTGTGGTGGCTCCAGGTTCTCCTGGTGGCCCCAAGTTCTCGTGGTGGCTCCAAGTTCTGGTGGCTTCAAGTTCTCCTGGTGGCCCCAGGTTGTCTTGGTAGCCCCAGGTTCTCTTGGTGGCCCCAAGCTCTCTTGGTGGCTCCAAGGTCTTGTGGTGGCCCCAAGTTCTCCTGGTGGCTCCAAGTTCTCCTGGTGGCTCCAAGTTCTCCTGGTGGCCCCAAGTTCTCTTGGAAGCCCCAAGTTCTCCCGGTGGCCCCAAGTTCTCCCGGTGGCTCCAGGTTCTCCTGGTGGCCCCAAGGTCTTGTGGTGGCCCCAAGGTCTTGTGGTGGCTCCAGGTTCTCCTGGTGGCCCCAAGTTCTGGTAGCCCCAAGTTCTGGTGGCTTCAAGTTCTCCTGGTGGCCCCAAGTTCTCCCGGTCTCCTCCGAGGTCCTCAAGGTCCCCCCCCCCTTTTTTTGTCCCCTCCAAGGCCTCCCTGGAGCACGAGGAGGGGAAGATCTTGAGGGCCCAGTTGGAGTTCAACCAGGTGAAGGCCGACTACGAGCGCAAACTGGCCGAGAAGGACGAGGAGATGGAACAGGCCAAGCGCAACCACCTCCGGGTGGTGGACTCTCTCCAGACCTCGTTGGACGCCGAGACCCGCAGCCGCAACGAGGCCCTCAGGCTGAAGAAGAAGATGGAGGGCGACCTCAACGAGATGGAGCTCCAGTTGGGTCACGCCAACCGGGTGGCCGCCGAGGCCCAGAAGCAAGTCAAGACCTTGCAGGGCTACCTCAAGGTGGGTTTTTTGGGGGGTGGCCACCAGGGCTTGAGGGGTGGTCTCTCCCCACCGGGGTGGGGTTCCTCAAGGTTCTCCTCCACCTGGAGGACCTTGGAAGGTTCTTCTGGGGTGGGTTCTCCAGGTTTTCTTCCATCTGGAGAACCTTGGAGGGTCCTGGGTTGGTTCCTCA